ATTTCTGGTTGTCCAGCACCGTTTGTTGAAGACTAGTCTTGCCACCCCCAAAATGTTGTAGACACTCTTGTGGAAAATCGGTTGATGATAGATATATAGATTTGTTTCTGGACTCTCAATTCTATTCCATTGATTTATAGTCTGTACTTCAGGGAGTACCATACTGTTTTGATAACTGTAGCTTTGTAGTAAGTTTTAAATCAGGATGTGTGAGCCCTCCGACTTTGTTCTCTTTCTCTTTTTTTTTCCTCCCAAGATCATCTTGGCTATTCAGGATCACAGAGTTGTGTAGAATTGTAGTCTTTGTTCTATCCCAAGTAAGCTGTAGGGAGTTTGGATAGGGTCCACGGAAGAATAATTAAAATAATCATGGGTTGTAATAGGCTGTTCTTATCAGTTTGGCCTGCCTGATGGATGCTGTCATCTGGTAAGATGAGGGCTCAGAGGCAGCTTATGATCAAGTTGTAAAATCATGAAGAGGAAGGGTGGCACGGGCTATTTGGGCACCACATTTTAGCTCCTGTAGAGCTAGGAGGTTGCCCAGTGAGGCTTGGAAGAGGCAGGTTTAGTGTCCCTAAATGGGACACTGTTCCACGCTAAATTGATGAAACTTACCATCCCCAAGGAACATATACATAAGCTAAAAATCATAGATACTGTAGCTTTAAAACATTCGTGGACCTTCATCTACCAGGACAAAGGTGGGTGTTTTGCAGCATGCCTCTTACCTTTTGAGGTCGGTGCCCCCACCCTGCTCCTCCCACATCCTGTCCCCCGGTGATGTGGATTGAGTGGCTGTGAGTTTAGTCCTGGATGGTGGTTCTTGGGAATTTCCAGTGAGCAACAGCCTTACTGTATCCTCCTAGAGTATGCCGTGGGCAGGAGAGAGGGGCCTGCGGTGGGGTTGCCTTTGCTCAGGCCCAGTGTGTTAGTGCCTACATAACATGCAGTGAGACAGAGTCTGCCCAGGTTGGGACTTGTCAGCCTTCCTCCAGACACATCCTGTCTCACAAATCATATTTGCTTTGACATCCTACCACAGACCGCCTTCTAATCATACTTTGGAACCACGTTCAAATCCTGCCAAAATGTCTTTAGTTCAGGTTTGACTAGCTTGTTAGTAACAAAATGCTGTGCTAGTGAGAATTTCACTCTGACCACTTTTTAACTTGGCTTTTCTGTAGATTGATTTTGTTACTCTTCTGCTATTGGCTTTCCTAATTGTGTTGTTTCTACTACGTAACTCTTTGGTGATGGAACACTGAGAGTTTTAGGTATGTGTTGTTTATGTACACATGTGCAGTAGGCGGATTTCACCTGATGAGTCACTATGAAGCAGATTATAAAGGGCTGTTATCATTAGTCCAGATTTAACTTTTCAAAGAAATCAAAATTAGGTTTGTGATTTAGTGTACTAGTAAAGTTTTAGTAAATTCAGGTGTTGTGTAATTTTATTGTCACTTTGTTTCAATGAAAAATGAATATTAACAGAAGACAATTTAAAGACTAGTCTGTCTTTAAAGTTCAGGAAAAGGTATATGGAATTAAAGCAGAACTTCCCAGTGTTGAATCAGTGATCCAGACAATGTGAATTTAAAAACAAACTAGATTCAGATTTCAAGTGGAGGATTTTAGAGGTCATCTGGTTCAGCCCCTGCTTTCTGGTTAATGGTGAGGAAAATGAGGTTCAGGAAGGTTAAATGAATTGCCCAAAACCACGCGACCAGTTACTGGCAGAGCTGAGACTCAAACAGCAGTTCCTTGCTGTGGTCTTGCTGTCACTTGGCACTTCCTAATTAGTGGTTAGAGAGACACATTGTACGTGGATGTGTTTACTTGAGTTTTACATTGAAGGGAGGGATGAAAATTCATTGAGCATCTATTTGCTAAGCACTTTTTAAATCTCTTATTTCATGTAATTCTTACATAGTCCTGTGAACTAATTAACAGTCCCACTTTACAGATTAGGCAGCTGGGGTGCAGGAAGGTTACTAACTTGCTCAAGGCCATGTGACTAACACTAGAGCTGGTATTTGAGCCCTGGGTCTGTGTGGCCTGTTCCTGCCTTGATGCTCTGCTGTGGCTCTAGTGAGAGTAACTGAAACCTCTGCAGGGGTGTGGGCAGTAGTGATGGTTATTGCAAAAATAGCTTTTTCAGACTTCTCACTCTGTAAAAGCAGAGATGTACACAGATGTGAGCAGTCTTCTCAAGAGTACCCACGGCACTTAGCAGATGTGGGCTGATCTTCATACCATCTCTGTAACATAAATGGTATTTTCTGGCTGAGCGGCCGAGGCCCAGATAGAGTCAGGGGCTTATTGCCCAATTCCCTTATCACAAAGCCGCATGGCCCTGCTCCCAGTTCCGTCCTTCGTCCCGTCTAGCATAGATTTCACCACTTTTGTTCTTTCCTGTCTTACACCAAGATTGTTTAAGTACTTCCCAAAAATAATGAGCCGCGTGTGGGTGTGCTCGTTCTCCAGAATGAATCACTGTGAAAGAGGCCGTGAACCAAGGAAAGGAGAGTGCGTGTCTGGGAGCAGGGGCTCTGCTTCCCTGCCTGCTAATTGACGGACTCTGAAGTGAGCTGCTTTTCCAAAGGCGGCTGCGGGTCTGGCCCGCGTGTCCCACTGTGCTCAGAATAGCCCTCTGGGAGTTGTTCGCTTTCCCTTCTTGCTTCCCAAAATAGACCTGAGGCTGTTCTCATCGCCGGACGTCGGGGCGCGTGTACTGAGAGGTGTGCGCGCCACGGGGACCCCTTTTGTGCCTGAATGTCCCCATTGACACAAAGAGGAATGGGCGTTTGCACTCGTGGATGAGTAGTCAGGACTCCAGGGTGAGTCAAAGAGGTTTGGGCTGAGTGTTCTGAGGGTCGCAGAAGTAAATCTCAGTTAGCAAAGAAGAAGGAAATTTAGGAGGAATTTACTTTTCAAGTTCCTTTTATGTTTGGGATCCTAGTCTAAAGGGTGCCTGCTTTAAACTTCCTGCCTTTAAAATATAACACTACCCGAGCCCTTCAGCAGGTAGCTGCGTGTTTTGGAATTTCTCCCAGAAGAAAGGGTTCTGATCAGACGCTGTGAGAAAAATCCCACAGGCGGTGCAGTGAAGATCCACACCGTCCATTTACCTGTCTGTGCTCGCCCTCCTTTGTTTCCTTGGTGGGGATGGCAAGGATTGTGTCACAGAAAGCCTGGGGAAGGAGGGGGTTGGACCCTGAGATATTTAGAATCTGTCTTTGGACTTGAAAAGCCAGGAGATGCCTTCCAGTGTTTTAGAGGAAGAGACAAAGATAGACTGTTTACAGCCGAAAGGGGTGAGTTACAACAGGCTGGTTTTTCACGGGACTGGTCATAAATGTCTCTTCTCCAGGGGCCATGGTTTGAATATGTTCCCTCTTGGGATCCAGATAGTATTCGCTTAGTGTCCAGTCGGGGCCTCGGGTGGGCCCTGCCACCTGCATCCCCGCTGGGCGAATGCTTTGTTCAGCACTGTGAGTCCCAACCTCAGTATCCTAGTGGCTCAAGCCGCCCTCCTGCCCATCCCAAGGGGTCAGGGCTGGGTTAGGCTCATGGGAGACAGTGCTGGGGAGAACCAACGGCTGCTGTCTGTACTATTCTTGTTAGACGGATAAATAAAGGATTTCAGATTCCAGGGCTGCCGAGCTGGCTTTCAGAGGCACCAAATTCATTTACAGTAATTTCCTGTCAACAGTGCACACTTAGGGATAATACACACCCAGCCAAACTCACTAGTTCCAGAGATGATTGTGTGCACTACCTATTTGAAAGAAAAAAAATTATATATATATATACATACACACACACACATACACATATTACTTTTAAAAGTGATATCCAGGGCTTCCCTGGTGGCGCAGTGGTTAAGAATCCACCTGCCAATGCAGGGGACACGGGTTCAAGCCGTGGTGTGGGAAGATCCCACATGCTGCAGAGCAACTAGACCCGTGCACCACAACTACTGAGCCTGTGCTCTAGAGCCCGTGAGCCACAACTACTGAGCCCGTGTGCCACAACTACTGAGCCTGCGCTCTAGAGCCCGTGCTCCTCAACAAGAGAAGCCACTGCAATGAGAAGCCTGCACACCGCAACGAAGAGTAGCCCCCGCTCGCCACAACTAGAGAAAGCCCGCGCACAGCAACAAAGACCCAATGCAGCCAAAAATAAATAAATAAGATAAATAAATTTTTTAAAAAATAATAAATAATAAAATAAAGTGATATCCAGTGGTCTTTCAGAATGGGTTAGATTTATTGAGCACTTTCTATGCATTAGCTCATTTAATCCTCACAATGACTGTATGAGGTAGGCACTAATATTATCTTATTTGGAGGGTGTTCTTTTTGCCCCCTCTTGAGAGGGGCACCTGCTGGGGACTAAAGGATGGAGGAGGTTGTTGGACTAGTCGGGAAGCTTTTCAAAGGAAGTGACGTTTAAGCTGAATCTTAAAGAACTTGTAAGCGTTAGCTAGGAAAAAAAGCATTGCAGCAAAAGCATGTGTGAGAGCACGCACACTGCATTCAGGAAACTGTGGGCGTTCCTGGTGCAGAGAAAGGAGATGGGGTTGATGATGGCTCCAGGGAACCCGGGTGGTGTCAGCTGGAGTGTGTGGGGAGAGGGGTCCTCTAGTCTCCGAAGGGAAGGTACCTTCCTCCCATCCTCAGGCTTTCCTAGCCACAAAACAATTTTTTTTTAATAAGTCAAAGTCTAAAAGTTAAAAAGGCAGTTCCTCTGTTTCTTGTAGGCATAAACTAGAGCACTTAGAGGACAATGGTGGGACCCAGAAACCCTTGTTGTGAGCAGAATAAACAGGTGCAAAGGTTGGGCCCCCACTGACGATGTCATCTTTCTGGGCCCATCTCTATAAAAGCGCCTTATTTTGGAACATCAAGTATGCTGGGGGATTGTATTCTAAGTCTGGAAAAGGACCTGGGATAAGACCTCACCATTGATGTCAGTGTCCGCTCCCAAATTTCCCACAGCTCTGCTCTGTGCGTGCACCAGCTGCTTACAGGCCAACTACACGTGTGAGACAGATGGGGCCTGCATGGTTTCCATTTTCAACCTGGACGGGATGGAGCACCATGTGCGCACCTGCATCCCCAAAGTGGAGCTGGTCCCCGCCGGGAAGCCCTTCTACTGCCTGAGCTCCGAGGACCTGCGCAACACGCACTGCTGCTACACTGACTTCTGCAACAAGATCGACCTGAGGGTGCCCAGCGGTGAGTGGACACCCTTGTTGGACTATTGGCTCATCGTGGAGGTAGGGCACCCCTGTCATTTTCATCCTTCTCTACTCTGCCCCCACCCCTTTGTTGGAGGATAGGTAAAGGTGCCTTTTTGATGCTCCCGGAGGTGACACGGGATGGCATTCCTCCCAGGTCCGGGCTGTAGATTCGAGGACGGGGGAAACAGATTGTCGAGTGAGCCACAGAGGTGAAAGCTGCGATTTGGGTCGTGGCTGAGGAGCCATTGGCGGCTGGTGAGATGTGGAAGAGCCAGGCAGGGGTCCCCACGGGAGGGCCTGGGGCTGATCCCGAAGGAGGCGGCCCCTAAGCCATGTGAAGGAAGCTTCTGGCGTGATGGTGATGGCAAAATGGGAAGAGGGACTAGAGCAGGAAAGGACGGCCATCAAGGCTGAGGAGTATTAGACACCACCCTTCGCAGGTCCGCCACTTAGGAGGTGTGACTGGGGAGATGAGAGGAGGAAGAGAGAGACCGGGCCGAGCTTCAGGAGGCTGTCACAAGTGGGGGAGCAGAACATGGCAGGTGCCTGGGGCGTGGAGGTGGGAAGAGCGCCATGAAATGCTGTGAAATTACGGAGTGGGTTGTGGGTTTGGCTGTTGCAAAGGGTACCTTAACTAGAGAGGTTTGTATCTGAGAGCATCCGGGCAGATACAGAGCCCAGTAAGACCAGAGAGATCAAGGGCACCTTGAACACAGGGAGAGGAAAAGGGCGTTTCCACCTGGAGGGAGGAGCCGGGGAAAAATGAGGCCGTGGCGTTCCCTCATTTTTACTCTGTTCTTTCCCTCTCCTCTCTCACCTGACCCAGGTCACCTCAAGGAGCCTGAGCACCCCTCCATGTGGGGCCCTGTGGAGCTGGTGGGCATTATTGCCGGCCCAGTGTTCCTCCTGTTTCTCATCATCATCATTGTTTTCCTTGTCATTAACTATCATCAGCGCGTCTATCACAACCGCCAGAGGCTGGACGTGGAGGACCCCTCGTGTGAGATGTGTCTCTCCAAGGACAAGACGCTCCAGGATCTCGTCTACGACCTCTCCACGTCGGGGTCTGGCTCAGGTACCACTTCTTCAGGCCTCGTGTCTGCTGTCGGCCTCCATCACTGCCTTCCAGCAGGATGGAGTGTTCAGGAAGAAGGCTGGCCATTTGCTTTCATAATTCCCCTTCTTTGGGAGTCTGACACGTAATAAGATAAGATAGTGGGGTTCACAGAAAATCTTTCATTCTCTGGAATTCCAAAGGTCAGGTGCAAAGCTCTCCATTCCAGGATCCCTGCCTCTCCAAGTCTTGTAACCGTACAGCTATTAAAATTCACCTGGTTCCACCTGAGCAGTGGAGTACTCAGTTTCAGGGCCCCTTTTGAGAAACGGGAGTGTGCCGGGTTCCTGTGAGGTGGTGGCAGCTAATCATTGATCTGCGAGCAACCGCAGGGGAGTTTAAGGACACCGAGTAAAGCCGAGAGCCTGGCTTGGGTGAATCATTGACTTGTGCCAGTTGCCCAAGGGTTTTTGGTGGCGGTTGAAATAAAGGCAGCTGGGGCCTCCAGCATGGCGTCAGCACCACTTCCAGAGCTGCCTGTTAGTGACCAAGCCTTTCTTAGGTGGACCTTGACTTGAGACTAGAATTTAGGATAAAGGGAGTTGGGTCGTCTCAGTCTCAGGGTAGAGCTCAGCTAGCTAGTAGATGTGGCTATGACTGCAAAAGAGTCTTTTTATGAAGACAAACAATTATTTTAGTGACGGTGGTATTCTGTTCCTATAGAAAAAAATCATCCACAAAGGTCACTGTTGCCATTCTAACTAAGACAGACAGGATCATATTTGTGAGAGCTTTGTGCGTGTTTATGTATGTCTTCTCGCCATGTGACAAGACTCCTCTGTAGGGAAATTATGCCGCCATCAGTCATGGCCAGACATCCCTTCTTGAGCACAGGAATACTTTGAGCTCTGACATCTCCTGAGTTTCTGTGGTTTTGCCTTTATTAAGCTCTGCAGTAGAGAGTGCCAAGATGATGGATATATTTAAAAGCTGCATATTTTTGGAAGAGAGAAAATATATGGCTTGTTCTTTGCTGAAGGAGGGTAGGGCAGTGGTTAGAACTGACTGACTCTGTGACTTCACTTGCTGCTGGAGGAGGGCTGCTCGGGGTTTTTGGAGTCTTTTTTAAGATTAGGATTAGCTGAGGTTAGGGCAGGTCCAGGGCAGTTACCCGGTCATCTGGAGTAAAATGATTAATAACTGTTCCTCTCCGGATGGTTTAGTCCATTCTTAATTCAGAGTACACAAAGCTTCCAAGGTGCTGGGGTTTTAATTCTGTGGACTTAAAGTAATAAGTCCTTGCTGGTTTGTTTTTTTTTTGTGGTACGCGGGCCTCTCACTGTTGTGGCCTCTCCCATTGCGGAGCACAGGCTCCGGATGCACAGGCTCAGTGGCCATGGCTCACGGGCCCAGCCGCTCTGCGGCATGTGGGATCCTCCCGGACCGGGGCACGAACCCGCGTCCCCTGCATCGGCAGGCAGACTCTCAACCACTGCGCCACCAGGGAAGCCCAGTCCTTGCTGTTTGTGTGACTTTCAATTCACACTAACAAGTATGCATTGGATACCCTCTGGGTGATACAGGGTGAACAAAATGAGAAAGAGGCCGAGCCAGGATGGGAGAGAAGAGATTGTGGAGAGGGTCTCACAGAGGAGGTCGTGTCTAAAGGGGTCATGAGTCCGACGTTTTGAGAGTGGTAAGAGGGCAGGGAACATTCCAGGCCAAGGGAAAACCCTTGAGCAAAAGGACAGAAAGGCATGAATGCTCATTGGGTGTTTAGGGAATGATCAAGAGGCCAGCACGGTGTCCCCAGGCCAGGGTGGGAAAGCCTTGGGCTGCTGTGCTTTATGCCCCCTGTTGGGGAGGGCAGGGCAAGGCCGGTGAGCTGGGAGGCACAGAGGCCCACTGGAAATCTTTCAAAGGAGGGCCGGGACAAGGGCCAGCGAGGGGGGACCTGGAGAAGAGGGGGCTAGATTGAGAAGCATTTGGTGGCTCTGTACTGTGGGAGTTAAAAGCATAAACCTTAGAGTCAGTCTTAGATGCTTTGCCGTTTACAGCTTGTAGGAATTCGAATGAGTTACTTAACCTTCCCTTTTGATGCTTAGTTTTCTCATTTGTAAAATGGGCATAATAACAACACCTACCGTATAGGTGGTTGTGAGGAAATGAGATCATTTATGCAAGTGCCTCCTGCATAGTATTAAACATACAGTACACAACTTAGGGGTTAATGACACGTTTATTTGTTTGGTCAGGGAGAGGGGGAGAGTTAAGAGTCACGATTGTGGGTGTGATTGGAGAGACAGGGAGACACTGCATGGGTCAAATGAGGCGATAAACGAGTCCTATAAAGACAGTAAATGTAATCTTAGGATAAGCCTGGGTCGCCCCTTGTCCTGCATCTGGAGCTCCCAGTGAGCAGAACTTTGATCTCCCCGGAGAGAGGTGGGAGCCTGGTGGGCCCTGACCACACGTCGGCTTTCATGGGCCACGCAGCACTGCCCTCCAGTGGCCAATGAGCGGAGCAGCCAGAGGCGGCCCCCAGCACTCAAACCTCCGCTTTCCTCTTCCACATAAAGCAGCTGTAGGTGGATTGGCCCCCCGGAGGCTGGCTGAAGAGTTAGTAAATCCGGTCAGACATTTATATTCAGATCTGTCGTCTGTACTAACTGGGAGGAGAAATCGCCTAGATGAGGAGGAGCTAATCGTATACATTGCCCCGTCCTCGCTCACTCACTCTCAGTGCTGCACAGCTTAGACTTCCGGAGGATTACCTGGACGTGATGTAGGGGCAGCCGAGCTCTCTGTGGTCAGTGGACCAGTGTAGAACGGAGGCACTGTGATAAGGGCTTTTCCAGTGCGGCGGTGAGAGTGGGCTTTGCAAAGTTCAGCAAATGCACAAATGTCTGCTTTCTTTCCACTCTTTGGCCCGTAGGGTTACCCCTTTTTGTCCAGCGCACAGTGGCCCGAACCATCGTTTTACAGGAGATTATTGGCAAGGGCCGGTTTGGAGAAGTGTGGCGCGGCCGCTGGAGGGGTGGTGACGTGGCTGTGAAAATATTCTCTTCTCGTGAAGAGCGGGCTTGGTTCCGGGCAGCAGAGATATACCAGACAGTCATGCTGCGCCATGAAAACATCCTTGGGTTTATTGCTGCTGACAATAAAGGTAAAGGGCTGGGTTTGGATACAGGGTGTCCCAAAGCCAACAGTAGTCCCAGATGGAGGAGTGACTGCGGAAACTGAACGGTTGTGGGACAGCACAGTTTTGTTTGCCTTTATAGTTATTACCCATAGCAAGAGGATCTGAGTAAGGCGATGGTTTTCAAGCTTCTCTTCTATGAAAAGCTTGTACAGAAATCCAGGTTATTAAGGAAGGAAATAAGCAGTTATTAAGCAGATAAGTAACCCCCCATCCTACCTGCTCACTTTCCCTTCTGTGATACTCCCAAACCCACCCCTAGGGTAGTCCCTGCAGGGGCTCCAGTAAATTTACCTTCATTCCGGTTGGAAGGATGAAGGGTGGCTTCAACCCCTGCCAGGAAAGGATGGCCCTGGAAAAGCATGCGATCCACACTGTGTGACAGACCAGCATCATACACACTATTGCAGTGGAGCGGGTGCAGCAGAGACACGGCCTGCCTCCCCCGAGGTGCTCCCCCGTGGCCTTCAAGCTCAGCTTTTGGTCCGCTTGTACCCGAAGTTCCTTATTTCCTCCTCCCTCTTTCTGCTGATTTTGCTGTAGTTTTTGAGTCTCTCTCGTGTGCCCAGGCATGCGCTCATTTTTTTTTTTTTTTTTTTTTTTTTTTTGTGTTTTGC